AAAAAATCGACCACATCAGGTTCTAGCAATCAAAGTCCATAGAGAATGATGCAAGCAACCTAGTACATTGGGTTCTATATGGTCATATGATCACTCAAACAAGCAAGGTTCACAGAACATTGTTATGCATAAGCATCCAAACAATCTATCTTATCATATGATCCGGTTTTTAAAAAAATTAGTTAGAACCCAAAATATCCAATTTCGTCCTAGAGAGAGAAGCAAATAAACCGGTTTTATGCAATAGCTATCAAGAGTTTTAAAACATCAATTTACTTGAACTCAAAACACGAAATCTATCAAGGTGAATTCCTTAAGCATTCAACATAATTAACTTGATAAAAATAAGCAAGCAAAACGGATCAAAGCAAGCAAAGATTTCGAGTTCAACAATTAGGGTTTTAGGTTAACTTTTGTTCATGAATACAAGTTTGTATCCATGTACATAGTTAGGCTCTTTAGGGCTTTAATTTTATTTATCAAACATACCAGAACATCATAGTTTTAAGGGGGTCGAAACTTATGTTTAAGAGTTTAAGTTTCATACCTCAAATCTCCTTGTTTTTGAATGGACCTCCATTAGGGCTTAACCGGTTTGGATCTTAGGAGAGAGAGAGATCAAATCACTTTAATCTTTTAGCTAAGGCTTTACACCTGCAAAAGAATAGTTAGCAAGGGATTTCTTCTTCAAAATAACTTAATAAATTAAGGAAGAAATAAGGTGAAAGTCGTTTGAGAAAGAGAGAAGTTTCTAGGGTTTCCGGATTTGAAAAACAGAAATTTAGCCGCCGTCTTGTTTTGGTGATTCCGGTTGATTCTGATGTCTGATTGACGCGCCGTTTGATCTACTGGATTCCNATAAGCATATTCCTTAGGAGATAAGGATTACAACAATAAAGGGGATGATTATCCTAATCCTATAATGATTAGGATAACTACAACATATGGATAAATACAAGGGAGGATAGTGACTGATGCTTGGCCGCCTGGTATGGTACTGATGTGGTCTGGTCCATTTCCGGATATGTCCCAACCACCATCTTCATTTCTTAACATTCTTTTTTTTTTGAACTGAGAAAAGTGCATTTTGTCCCAAAAAAAAAACAATAGAATGTTTTGTCCAAAAAAAAAAATAGAATGTTCGTTCTTTTTTAACTGAGAAAAGTGCATTTTGTGATCTTGATGGGTTTCAACAATCTGTGACTACCTAACCAAACTATGTGGATTCTTTGAGAGCCTTACGACAACAACGTTGGTATTGTATATGCTGTCCTTATTATCAGAATCCTTGTTGCTGAAAAAAAAATACTTTCAGAACGAGCTTTCTAAGTGCTGAGGCGTGCAAGGAACGCGTACCACACCAAAAGTCAAGGCATCTACAAAAGAAAATTTCTTCCGTGTGCCGTTTTACTTACCCGTTGGAGTCTTTGCTGCTGGTCTGCTGGAGTTGCGCTGACTCTACTGTTTTTGATTGCAACCATTCTCTACTACTTTGCTCATTCCAGGGCTGACACTGGTGGAGGGGAGAAACATCAGAACGACGGCATCAGCATGGCTACTCCTGCAGATGCTCCAAAGCAAGTTAAGCAACACAACACAGACTTTGACAAGACTTAACAAACATATGTTTGGTCTTATATTGGCTGTGCTTTTAAGATAAGGGTATACATTATAAACTGTTATGTATTATAATTGTTCATTTGAACTTGCATTCTCAGATGTACGTTGGCTTATGTGAAATTTTGATTTGCTCCTTAGCTTTCCCACATGACCTCAGCCAGGGGTGCTGACAATTAAAGGTCGTTACTCATATCTGTATGGACCTAATCTAATAAGCCCATTACAAGGCCCAGTGACAACATTCTAGTCTCAACTTCGAATATATGGAATATACTTGCATGAGAAAGAGTTTAACAAAGAGCTCAGATGTTTGATAACTTTATGGAATACATTTTCGATCAGTACAAGTAATGAACGATTCTCTACAAGATATTAAAAATTGTTTACACATGCAATAATGTATAGGGATGAGTTTTGCAACATGCTAAAGCCATACCTTTCCCTTTTCTCAAATCACTTTCTTCTTTATGAATCTAAGAACAAATCCTTGCTTATCCTCGGAGTAGAGAACAATTTATATAAACCTTGAATCTTCGAGCTTAGCAAATAAAAAGGCTACAGTTAGTTATAAAACCAGAAACCAAAACAAGCATAACTATTTACGGGTCCGAAATGGATGCACATGGAGCTTCTTCATCTAGGAAACGAAGATCTTTGTACCATAATCTAGGAGGAGGACACGGTAACATACATCTTTCTTTTATTTGCTTATTTTTTCTTTAATTTTCCTATCTGAGTGAGATTTGCTCTTGAAATGTTGTAGTTGCTGATGTAATGTTCTGGAAGAACAAGAAAGAATCAGGAACAATCTTGGCGGTATTCACATTGATATGGTTCTTGTTTGAAGTAGTTGAATATCCTTTCATTACTTTCCTCTGCCAGATCCTCCTGATATCCATTTTTATATTCCTCATTTGGTCTTACATTGGCTCTTCACGACTAATTCAACGGTACAAAAAAAAACATTAACACTTGATTCTTCTTGTTATGAAACCAATTAAGTACTGAAAGAACACTCCCTTTCGTTCAGGCAACCACCAAGTATTAACGATCTAAAGATTTCTGAATCATCTTGGAGATTCTTGTTCAACAAGATAAATTGGTTCATCATCAAATTGTATGATATTTCAAGTGGAAAAGACTTCAGACTCCTAGTTTTGGTATAAACCCATTATATACACCTTAATTTAAGAAATACTAATCACATAAATATTGTTTGGATTAAGAACTTGTGTCACATTTTGTTTCAGGCCATTGTTTCACTATGGATATTATCAGTGGTCGGAAACTATTTCAGCTCTCTAACTCTGCTATACATCAGTGAGTCTTTATGATTTTATCTAGCTAGAGTTAGCTATAAAACTAACGAGACAATGTTCAATGATTCATCCATATGTGCATTACACATAGCATAATAAAATATATCATATCATCCGATAAACATACATGATGATTATTATAGAATATGACTTTAATTACATGTGTAACTTTTTGGTGTAGTATTTGTGGCTCTGGAGACAATACCGATGTTGTATGAGCTATACGAAGAAGACCTGAATTATGCAGCAAGTAAAAGCGGGAGGGACATGAAGAAGCTCTTTAAAGACTTCAACTCTAAAGTCATTAACAAGATCCCTAAAGCTAATGCCAAAACTAGGAGGCATATGTAACTTTTATATCAATCTTCTGAATTTGCACATCTTACATATTAAAACTGTAATAAGTCTCGTTCTTGTAATCATGAATACTCCATCAGGAAGTCAAAATTCAGTGTTTTTAGTAAATTATATTTCGTTTTCATGGAAGGTGACTCAAAAGATTTGTCAAAATGATTAGAAATATATTTCATAATATGTATTTTAATATGTAGGATTAGGATGATCTATATATATATATATATATATATATATATCTTAAAGGAATTGTAACAAATTATATATCTTAATCTTCAAGACAAGTGTCTAATTAGAAAAGCAAGATTTATAAGACCATCTCTAACAAGAGATATGTTGTTAGAGTTCTAAATCAATTTTTAATTGAAAATAATCAAAATAAAATTTTTAGATAATTGTTTAGTTTTAACCACTCCAATGGTAGTACTAATTAAAGGTTTTAAATTTCAAAAATTTGGTTTATTTTTCTTAACATGAGAAACTCAAATTCAAAAAAAACAAAATCACTTCATAATTAATAAGATAGATAAATATCTTTTATATGGGATATAGACTTATAGTGTGCAAATCTTTTCCACCAAACATTATAAATGTTTATCAAGTAGAAAAATATCTAAATAGCTATTTAAGAAATAGATAAGGGTGTGATAATTAGGCGTAATCGTAATCATTTTGTAGTTTATCTATTTATTCATGAACAAGCAGAAAAACAACAAACTTTTGCTCTATATATTTGAGAAATAAATTTATGTTAGAACTCTTTCTGTTTTAAATTACATGATCAAGTTTTAAGTTATCACACAACTAATAAAAAACTTGTTTTCTACCTAAATCATATTATTAATAATAAAATAAAAGTTATTCAAATAATTTTAAAGTATTATTAATTATGCGGCTTTTGATAAAGTTTAAAACTACATTGAAATATGAAAGTATTTTCTATTATGAAATATCGAAAACTTATTTAAACGCAGAGATATAAAATATCTTTGATTTTTTTTTGTAAGAAACGCTAATGCTTCTTTAGATTCTTCAAGGTCACCAGAAGACAATCAAAAACGGCAGCTTGTTTTTATAGAATAGTGACAAAACACTCCTCGATGCGTACCTATTTGCTTTGTCTCGATACCCGAAATATTTTAACGTTCATTGTGTTTGTATCAGTGTTTTGAAAACTTGACTAGACCGATAGCTAGGTTCACTCAAAACTATTTTTTTTTCTTATTAAAGGTAATCACTCTTAAAGTATTGTTTGGATAACAATAAGAAGTCAACTATTCAGTAGTGGATATGACGAATGGCTCCACATATATATTGGTAAACTAGTTTGACCCTAGAGTTAAACCAAAGGCCAAAGTAAACAAAGGGTCGTCGCATCTTTGGTGACTTCTGACTCGAAACAAACTAAAACCACACATTTGGAAAGATGCCAATTACTCTCTCTCTCTCTCTCGCTTTTTCTCTTTCTTTATCAACCAGTCACAGTCGTCAGAGCAATGCACAAAAACTTGTACAAATGGTAAGAGAAGGACTTGCGGCTGTGGCGGCTGATAACGGGGAAGGCATCACTATCTTACTCTACATTTGGGCAGCACTTTTGGCTCTCTCCATCATAACCGCCGTGACTTTCACTTGTAGCAACGGAGCTTCTAAATCTCAAACTGACGACGTGCATGGTTCTGCATGTGCCGCCGGCTGTGGCGGTGGTTGTGGAGGGTAAAACGACAGGCAGAGTTTTATTTTTTTGGGGTGAGCAACATGCAGTTTATCGTGTATTAAACGTCCTAGTGGTGACACAACGGCGGCAGTAATACAAACTCGTAGGTTATGATAATTAAACGGGTCTGTTTTAAATAGGCAGTTTTGTTCAGATCAAGGACTTTGAATACAAATCATACTTGCTTTCTGACTTCAATATGTATTGAAAATTTGAATGAATTTGAATGCAAATCAAATTTGGTTTCTTGCTCTAACATGTATTAATAATTTGAAAGAATCTGAATACAAATCATACTTGCTTTCTTGTTTTAATATGTACTAATAACTTGAATGAATTTGAATACAAATCAAATTTGTTTTCTTGCTGTAATATATACTAATTATCTTAAATTTACTTATCAGGATTAACAAATTTACTCCAAGATTCATATTAAAAGTAGAAAACATTGTAGAATGTATTTTTTTGTATACAAATAATTAAAAAGGAAAAAAATCCTGGAGCTGTTTATTAATTTTGCATACAGCAATGGGAGTTGTCGAGCAAAACAGAGGAATTAAGTGTTGTCACAGTTCGGTGCATCAATTAAACTTCTTATCTAAAAGAAACTTATCCATTTCAAGACAACAAATATATTTTTTATATATATCTAAGTTTACAACGACAGCATTTACATGAACAACAAACGATTCAAAAACCAGCAAGGTCTTATAGATAAGAAGCCATAAAGATTATACTAAAATTGAGTTTGATTAGGCGGCTCCGTTTCATATACCTGTAATGCAAATTGATAGCATAAATCACAATCTGTTGCATAAGATAATGTTTTAATTAAATCGAAGTAGCAAGAATCCATACCTGATGAAATTGCGGGTTAAAGGGAATGTTTTGGTGAGGCATCATGGGGATTCCCGGCGCATAATAGCACCAAGGACTGGTGTATGGAGACATGCATGGTGCTTGAGCTCCATAAAAGGGAGCAATGTAACCTGCAGGCTCTGTGTATGCTTTAGACATCATCTGGACCACATAAGACTTCGTTAATTCGTGAATGTGTATGTGAATTGTAGATAAAGATAAAGTAGCTTACATCAATCTGAAATTTTAAGCTTTTTATGTATTCTACGATGCTTTCAAGCTTTGTTGCAAGGTCCGACTGTAAATAAGCACACTATAAGGACTCATTAGAAACTCAATATTGTATTCAATTATACTATTTGTATGAAGTAATTGTAACCTTTGCGCAATTAGGCGTCAGCTCTTGTAATATATCTACTTTATCTCTTATAAGTTGTCGTCTTTTCTGCATAATTTAGAAACCAAGAAAATAAAATAAATATAAGGATTGTTGTAAGTTGTAACTTAAATATAGATCTTTCTAACCTTCTCCATCAGCACACGATATTCCATGGAACGTTGTCGTTTAGTAGCGTGATTATTCTTGTTGCAATGATCTTTTTTGTCTCTCTGATCACTTTTCTTGGTAACGTCCTTAGGCTTAGAAAAGGAAAGCGTTGAAGAACTCGAGTTCGCACCGAATATCTCTTGCAAGGGGTTTAGTTCATTATGATGATCTGAAGACAACGAAGAGATTATCTCAGACAGTGAATATAGTTCTTCATCATGATGAGTACCGTTGTTGTTGTTGTTGTTGTTGTTGTTGTTGTTGTTGTTGTTGTTGTTGTTGTTGTTGTTGTTGTTCTCCATTGATGATCATATAAATTGTGTTTTTTTTAGTTTGTGAGAGATTGAAGAGGAAACTCGTGGAGCCAAAAGCTATAAATAGGGGATGAAATCTAATTAGGAAGCTGCTTTTGAAAGTCGCATCAACTGAGCGGGAAAAAAACAGATGCTATTACTTCGTCATGTGGTTTTCTAACATTGATTATCCACGTGAAGTTACAGTTTTTATATTTGTAATATTATATAATATGCTTTTGTATTTGGGAAAATTCCATATAAATATCCCAACTAAATTTTATTAAGTTTTCTAATATCCAATTTAATATCTCAACTAATTATTTTGTCCAATTTAATATACAAACTTATATAAATAGCAATGCATATTTTTATTTAATATTTTGAAAAATATATAACAAAAATAGTTATGTGTTTTAATTAAATGTTTCTAAAAATATTTTTCATATAATGTAGTTTTGAAACACTGTAATTTTTTCTCATTTTTCTTAAAATATTTTAATTATAAAATAATAAATTTATTTTAAATTTTCATGTTAGCTCTTGTCATATGTGCACTTCATCACGTCTTAACACATTATATTGCTGCATCATTGAACAAAAAACATAGTTTGTGATTGATACAATAATGTTTCTCGTTTGAATGTTGAAAGTGTTAATAAAATTTTTTGAAGGTTTAAAATACGTGTAGTTGTTAGTCTGAATGTTTAAACTACTCATTTTTCTTTAAGAAAAAAATTGTTTCGTATTTAAAAGTTAAGTATTTAAATCACCATTTTAGTATAAATTTCTAAGAAGAGGGAAAAGAGATATATATATATATATATATATATATATATATATATATATATATATATATATATATATATATATATTATTTTTAAGAAGAAGGGATTAGGAGGAAAAAAAATCAAGAGGGAATAGCAATTTAGCTTGGGTACTTGCTGGTTATATGTCATATAAATTAATTTAGGTATACTTAGAAAGATTTGGAAACTCAATGGACAACAACAGTCTATATATATAAGTAAACAACCAATAACAAAACCATTCAAGCTTTAGATCTCTTTTGTGCTACCCAAACTATGAAAAGCCTAACTCCCAAAATGAATTGAAGCTCGATTCGGTCGGATTATGAGTTTTATTTAATAGCGTTTTAGATTTATGCAGTATTATGATACTTTCTTAAAGTTTTACGCTGCGAACTAGTAGTTCTAGTTATACAATCTCGTGCAACTTTGATCATATAATGCCATTGCGGTTTTCTTTGGTCTATTTTGGTTTTCGGATAAACTTGCATAAAATTATGTTTCAAGTTAGCCCTTTCTCAAAAAAAAAAAAAAAACATTATGTTTCAAGTTCCCATATTTCTCCATTTTTGGCCGTTTACATGATCCCGTCAGATTCTATGTCCGCATCCTTTTATACTTTTATAGTTTTTCATATTATAATCGAACGTACAAACAAGATTTGAGAGTGACGTCAACTAACTGTTCAAGTTATTGTCTCTGTTTGATTCAAGAATCTCTTTTTTTTATTCAAGAATCCTGTAATGTATATCTTGTCTTCGCACTAAAGTAAAACGACTTTGGCGTGAAAATAAGGAAAAAAAACAAAGGATCTCCCATTTTTATACTCACATGAATCTTTAGATTTATTCTATTTTCTTAAGCGAAATTTTGGAGATTCCAAGTCTTTCATTCATAATGCCTTTGCTCAAAAAAAGTCTTTGTACTTAACAATTTTACCAAAAAAAAACAAGTCTTTGTTTCATTATTGTTTATTATAGTTATGTTTTTTTTTTATTAATTTGAAGGTATCTAGAACCTATAGAAAAGTGAAGACTAAATTATAATGGAAGTGCAGTCTATGAAAAGGATGCGAATAACAATATATAATAGTAATCAACATCCATTCAGTAATAAAATACTGCGGATTATTAAAAAACTATTACAAACACGCTGTTTATTTTAAACTAATAAATATGCTTGTGTGTAGTATTCTTGTTATTAATAATAAACAATCAGTGTTGTGTGGATTTCTCATTGCCACGACCATCCATATATACATTCCCTCACCGTTACCGCTCGGCTTGTACCTTCTGTAATCTGAAGTATCGTCTCAAGCACGTGGCTGCTCAGTTTAATGGTCCAGATTCGATGAACTCTGAAAATAATCAATCGGTGAAATACATAATTTTCTTGCAGAAATTAAAAAATGGTTAAATTAATTAGTTTTATAAATCATACAAACTGATTGCATACTCGGAATCCAAGTTCAGAACAAAAATGAGATTTAGACTATCTCTAAGGCTAATGTGTTACTCTGTTGAAGGGGGAAATGAAAATTACACTTTTTATAATTTTAAGAAATGTTAAATTTAACTATACAATTAATTTTGTACAAAGTATTAACATGTTATTGTTAAACCTTCAAAAAGTCTTTTCCGCATTGGACATTCTCTTATAATTTATTAATTTAACATGATGTCATGGAGATTATATATCCAAAAACACAATTAAGACTCATGCTGCTCAAAGTACAAACCCTCATGACAGTGTTCAAGGCGTTAAATAAACATCCATAGTCCACACTGAATGAACACATTCAAATCATTGTCAACTCGAAGAAATATACATATCCAGTTTGTTCAATAAATTAGCGATTTTTTGCATAAACTGAGAGAAGAAATGGACAGTATATGATGCCAGGTGACTTACATCAAGAGCAAACAGCCGATCTATCAATCACATGTAAGGGCAACACGATGTTTCTAGACTTCTAGTCAAGTTTTGACAAAAAAAAAAGACTTCTAGTCAAGAAAAATTGACAGGCTTATTAGACCAAATGGTCTAGCAATTACTAAAACATTAAAAAAAAATCGAGTAAAGAAAAAAGTTCTAACTTTTATTTCTTGATTTCTCTTTATCAAGATAATTGTTTAAAATATTTTTCAAACTAAAAACAGTTTCGAAAAGTAGATTCATTTTAAAAACGTTTTAAAAAAATTAAACTAAAACTACTATCTAAAGTTAAAACACAAATATTAATTTTAATAAAATGTGCTCAAAACTTTATTACTGTATTTTTAATACAAATAATAGAAACATCTTTTAAAAATAGATTAACCTAAAAAAAATATTAACTTAAAAATGAATCTGTATTATTAAAAGATATCATGTCGTTCTTTCTAGTATAGAATATCATCGATTTTGGCATTTTACTGAACAAAATGATGATTTACTTCATTTATCAAGAATTTTAATTTTTCAGATATATTTATAGCAAAATGATTAAAATACAAAAATTAGAAATAATTTTTTTCAACAACTCTTTTTATATAACCTTAGATATAAGAATAAACTAACAACCTGTACAAATTCCTTTACAAATGCAATTAAATAAATCTTAAAACAAAATTACAACCCAATTCCAAAAATACTAACTAATTCACTAAAAGAGATTTTGTAAATCTACACAATTAATCAAAATATAAAATATAATAACTTAAATATATAAATAATTACTTACATATTTTTAATTGTGATTAGAGACAAATTTGTAGAAGTAAAAGAGATAAAACGAAGTAAATCACTCAAAAAAAAAGAAAAAACAATGAAGTGAAATTTGAGAAAGAGAGAGGATGGGCTGTGAGATCCATAAAGTTAAAAGATTTTTTTTTGTTTTTTAACTAATAATCAGAAAATGATGAATTGAAATGCTCATAAATTTGTCTGGCTTACGTAAATTTAGCCATTTAGGTAACATCTTAAGAAAATTCAATTTCACTGATAGCTCTCAGAAAATTTTGATTAGTTTTATAGACGTATATTACTATAAATATCATCACTTTTTTTGTATGAAATTTGTGATGAATTTCCTATAAAAGTTCATTACCTGCATCAATAAATTTCCTTTGGAATTTTTTGTATATTTTTGATGAATTTTCAGACTCAATACCAATATCAATGCAATGTTTGGGATTTTCGGCGAAATTTTCTGACGAAAATATGATGATTTTGTGTTCGTAGAAATTTTCTTATGGATCTCAAAAGACACATCTTTATCAAAAGATGATTGCAATTCCATCTAAAACTTCTGACTAACAAAATTCGACTAGATATTTATCGGAATCCGACATGTTATCTTCTGATTGAAATTTTCTTATCGGAATCCGACATATTTACATTATAACAAACCAGTTTCTTATTCAATACTTCTGGTTACACAATTTCATGTATTTTGTTAAAAACGAGATGTGCATTGTCCTGCAAGTTCAGATTGGTTCATCTTAAAAAGATTTATGGAAGTTGGCCCAAAATCAAAGTCGTCATTTGGGATATTTTTTTCTAAATAGGTTCACATCAGCTTAAAATAAAAGTAAGAGGAAAATGTCGAATATTTTCATATGTAATATAATCTCCGATAAAATAGTTATTTTCTTTATCTTCTGGCTAACCAAACCAATTCATATAAAGTATAAATGCAGAAAAGAGAAACAGGAAGGATCCATTTTCATACAACAGAATCTAAAACCTATCAAATAAAGATAAAAAATTATTGTCAAATGTACAACAATACACCATCACTTAATTACACATAACCAAACTAATTTATCAGAAGGATTCATTTTCACACAATAGACTGAAACCTATCAAATAAAAATATTACTGTTAGCTATATACAACAATACACCACCATATACCTATACAAAATATGTGATTACATTATAACATCTCTGGGCTATTATGTCTTGTGTTGCTAATATTAGTATTTCATTCTGATAGTTAAAAAGTGTGTCAGATATAGAAACCAACAATATCTAATAAAAATCATTCAACCAAACTTTTGAAAACAAATATAACATACATAATAATAAATAGATAAAAATTCAAGTGCAATAATGTACAACCGAATATAATATGTCAAATTAAACATCATTATAAGTTGTCATATTTCAATTCCAACACATTTTTAGTTATCAGAATGATATTAGTGGTGCACTAATGAAACGCATAATAGTTTATATATGTTATCATGTGAATCATATAATTTGTGAACTTTTTATATGTTATTTTTGTTCCCATGTGTGGCTATGTAAATAGCAATCATTTTCCAATAACAATTTATTCTCAAAGTGTGGCTATGTATACGATGATAAATACATAATGTAAAACAAACGAATATAATTATATAAAATGTTAATTTATTTTTTAGTATATCAAATTATAACATGACTACCGCCACAAACGAACAAAGAGCGAGCAACAGTCTTAGAATTCTTTTCTTTTTCAAAAACATATAATTAAAAAGAAAACTTGAGAGTCCCGGTCCAACATACTATAATACCTAGCTTTAAGTGACTACATAGATTTTGACGATTGGGGCTGAGTGTTGTAACCCTGCAATTATTTATTTATCAAAAAATGAATAAATAAAAAAATAGCAATCACAAAATATATTATAAAACATGAAGGCAAAACAAATCAAAACCTTAGTAGTAACGTTCACGATTTGTTGACTGTGACCGCTAGTTTCTCCTCGGGTTAGGCTATTGAACGATGGCTGCGACATGATCAAATTGGGAGGGATATGTGGGAACCATGGTGCAGGAAAATCCATATTCATTCCGAGTGGTAACATAGGACTCATACTCTGAGTCAGCAACGTGTTAAGAATTAAAAACACACCTATATATAACGTCTTTTAAATAAACATACGATTAGTCAAATAAAAACAAACCAATGAAACCAGAAAAGAATGAACCAAGATCAAACATGTTTTTACTTCTGATACGAGGAAGAAAAATCAAAACTAAATAAAAAGAACCTGAAACATAACTTTCTATTTATTGAATTTGACTGAAAACAAACAAAGAAACTGTAGAGAATCACTAAAATATCAAAATTTAGTTGTTTTTAATATACTTCTTGGTAAACCAGAAAATACAGATTAAAATTTAGGTATACATGTCTCTACATAACAAAGTAAGGATTGAGAATACTTACTTCAACATAACTTTTCATCGAACGTATGTGCTCGACGATACAATCAAGGGTCGAGGCTATGTCTCTCTGTAGACAGATTCATATGGATACAAAATTTAAAACAAAACCCAAATGAGCAAAAACAGTAGCTTTTGATATGTAAGCAACTTATTAATAAACGACCAACAAAAAACAACTTATTAATAAACACAAACGCATAAATTTGTATTAAAAATGACAGAGCAGAGATGAAAATAAGGAGGCAAACAAATAGTGTGCACCTTTTTGCAATTAGGTGTCAACTGCTTGAGGTTCTCAAGTTTGGTTTTTATATCGCTGCGTCTCCTCTATGTTTTGAAAAATAAAAAAGATTGAACTACTTGTTTCTTAAGAGGCATGCATCAAACAAAAGAATATTTTAACCTTCTCGGCAATATTACGAGCTTCATTACTACGTGGTCTTTTACCAAGATTCTTCATTTCTTCTTTTTCACCTATCTTTTCCTAACATGTAAAAAGATAATTTTTTTTTTAGATATCACTCATATACACAAATATGTATATCCAAGAAAACAAACATACCATCTCAATATCAGTAAATCTCTGCGCACCCTCATTAATGTTCTTCTCTCCATCACCAGGAGAATTCGAAGGGTTAGGCAAAACATCTATAGCCATGGATGTAGACATCACCAGTATTGGGCTACTTATCTCGGGAGAGAGATCATCCTTAGGGTCGGAATCAGCAAAGGATTTGAGAAGTGAGGACCAATACTGAATGCTTTCTTGATTCTTGTTCATATTACTTGTGATAGTGAACTAACAGTAAGAGTGATGAAAAGGTTGTGTGAGTAAGAATTAAGGAAGAGGTATTTATAGGAAGGAATGTTGGAGAGGTGCTTTAAAAGGGAACAAGAGCGGGAAAGACCCGGTTGCTTAACTCAAAGTTCTGTCGGAAGTTGTCAAGTTGATCGTATGATGTATAACTTTTGAACATTCTAGTTTGCCGTTTAATCATTTTTATCCATCTTCTTGTTTTTTGTTAATTCATTACCCATATAATTTTCCAATCCAGTGTGTTTGTTACAAGAAGCTTTCCCCCAGCTATAACTATACGAAATTGTAACTTGATTAATAAACTCAGATCTAAATTATTCTGACCAAAGTCGACGAGAAATTGTATTATTTTGTAACAAAAATAAGCGACCATGAATGATAGAGTTTGAAATTAATTATTTTCCACTGATGTACTTTACTTAATTGCTCGAGCAATATTCAGTTTCAAGTAACCATCAACTTCTTCTTTCTTTCTTTTTTGGTAAACAACCATCAAGTTCATTTGTTAAGTTGTTAAGATTCATTTTTATGATTCTGCTTGGGACGTGTTGTTGGTTTTAAATGAATCATATTATACTACTAAATTAGAACTTTTTTTTTTGCTAAATTAGAACTTCTAAAATGTAAGTTTTATAACTGCGTCGCTGAGAAATCTTCATCAAGTATGATTAAATAATAAAATTCAGTTAGTTAAAACTTTAAATTTAATTTACTGGCGAGTACAAGTAGAAAACAAATGTTTACATTAGTAATATAAGCAGAGTAGAGATATTGAGAAATATTTTGGAAAATAAACTATGTAAAACATCACGTAATCAAATATATTTAGAGAGAACCAATTGATATTATCCATGAGGAGATTTATTTATTTGTCTTTACTTCAATTAAGTTATTACAATACAAATATAAATTAGTAGAAAGTATTTTTTATGAAATGTTAAAGTCAAAAGTCCTTTTTACTTGTATTTTTTTTGTAGTTAAAGCCAATGCCAAGAACTAATAAAGTCTTGGTTAGCAAAACATATTAAAAGACTCAAAAGTAGACCTAATATATAACATTCAATAAAACACATGTATATACTAAAACCGTCGAAAAATAAAACATGCATATGCATTTGAAATCATATATACTTACAATATAATATATTCATTCATCTTTAGCTATGATTGTATGCTTGATTATATTTTTTTTAACAGATACAATATAAATTATGTTTAAAATTAAAATTTTATTTATATTACAAATTTTCTTTTTGTTATCAATATTTAAATACAAAATTTGGTTTAATCAAACATAAAAAATAATATAATTTTTTTTTGTTTATTTTAAATTATATTTAAGAATATGCATGTATATATTTAAAATTATAATCTTAGATAATTTTTTATCTATTTATTTTAATTAAATAAATTTGTAGAAAATTTTATAGTTATCAAAAATTAAACTAATACAATGTTTATTAAATTTTTAAATCTATAATAAATTAATAATTTTACAATTAAATTTTATTAATTTTCTGAATATGTATACATTTTTGAAATTTTTTTAATAAAATTGTGTAGTTTTAAAATATATAATTAAATGATATTTTAGAAATTTTTAATGTCACATTGGTATATATTTATTTTAATGACGATTTATGAGTTATTATTATATTTTAAAAATATTTCCAAAAAATATAAATCAACATTAATTGTAATATATGAGTTATTACCATATTCTATAAAGTTTTCAAAAAATATATATTAACATTAAATGCAATTGTCCATGTCATATTTAATCATATGTCATGTCATCACTTTTTTGTGAAACTGATTCTAGAGAAGACATACGGCAAAATCACTTCACAAATAATGTATAGGGAATGGCTGGAGGACTTTTCATATAAAAGTTATCTTAAGATTCAGGATAAGCTATGTGTAATCTTAAAAGTGTTTGCCACTTTTTTATCACAAGATAAAAATTATAATTTCACGTTTAACAAAAAAAAATCACTACTCTTATGTTATTTTTGATTAATTTTGAGACATAAATTTACAATCAAACTTAAAATTTGGATCATTTTGACAAATTTCTCATTTTTCTACATTCCAAGCAAAGTTTCATTAATCAAAGAACTAATCATGTTATTTCCTTGGACACAAAAACATAACAAAAATATTATTCTGATCGTTATAAATACTTTAATAGTTCATTTTTGTTTCTTGATAAGGTGATGACTGTTAGGTTTTAACTAGTACTTTAATTTTATTTTTAAACCACTAATTTTAATTATTTATGATGTATCATCTATCTTATTAAAGTTGTAGTACTCTTTAGGTTTGTTTGGAAACTTAAATAGTAGTAATAAAGAGTTTAATGTTGTTTGCCTATAAGTTTAAAGGAGTTGGGCTTTTAAACATTGTTATAATAGAATTGGGCTTTTGTTTAATTTATTTTATGTTATGGTTGGCTTTAATCATTTGGCCCATTGTAGTAGTTTGTGTTTTTAGTTTATATTTTATATAAAGACCATATTCAATTTTATTTATTGTTGACTAAATTAAAAATAACATCAGTTTTTAAGATAATAACAATTTACATTTCAAATAATTTAATACTCAAATATATTTTATCTAAAGTATTTTACATTATTCAAATTATCATAAAGACACAAAATATTTGAATAGTTTTAACTANATAAAGACCATATTCAATTTTATTTATTGTTGACTAAATTAAAAATAACATCAGTTTTTAAGATAATAACAATTTACATTTCAAATAATTTAATACTCAAATATATTTTATCTAAAGTATTTTACATTATTCAAATTATCATAAAGACACAAAATATTTGAATAGTTTTAACTAAAATATTAAAATTTTGTTTTCGTAATTGGATATTTATCCGAAACACCTATCCCCCCCCCAAAATCAGTTTTATCCCGATTAATCTAAAATTAATCCTAGAAATCGTAACCAAACCGTTATCATATTTGAACCAAAAATTTATCTGATATTAGTCGGTTATTATAATTATTAACAAACTCAGCTCAAACCAAATCGAACCGGACGCAAATCAATTTATATAGATAACAGAACAGATCTTCTATCTGTAGAATTAAAAAAACTACGAACATAAAGAATCCAACAAAAGTTGAACCCAAAATCAAACCCCAGTCCTATTACATTCAATACGATCATAGTTTTTGAAATACGGTAATAACCGATGACTTATGAATATATTATGCTTTTCCAAATTAAGTTAAACCCGCGCCGGTGCGCGGGTCAAGATCTAGTTATTTTTAAAGTTAAAGTACCTATATCTATAACTTTTTTCATTTTTTTATAAAACAACCATTAAAGTGTTTTAAAGTTTTTATCATTTTATATAGAAAAATAAAATATAATTACAATAATGAAAATTACAGAATAAATCTTACAACGAAACTTTTAAATATACAGTCCAATCAATATCTCCATAAGTCTTGTGCCACTAACTAATTAGATAACTTATAGGAGTATTCTAATTGCAGTCTTACGAAATATGATATGAATGTTTCCAAAATATAATAATATTACAGAAAAAATTACTGTTTTAATTTAAATTTAAAAACGAGCATTTTGTTGTTATAGGAAAACTATTAAGAAATAAAAGGAAAAATATGCGTTTTATAAAATTTTAAATGGGAATAAATTATTCATATACCAAAAAGGATTTAGTCTTTTACATTTATATGTTAAGATTCCAATTTAGATTTTTTTTAATAAAAACTAACATTTTTATCATTTAGTCTTATCAGTTGATCTAGCCTTAAGATATTTAGAGATTTGTTTTGTTTATCCAGAGAGAGTATTCAAAATTTTGTTTTTCTTTCAATTATACCGAAAGTTTTAAATTCCAAAACATATCATTTGAGAGTCCAAGGAAGAACACTTATAAAAAACTGCTCAGAATACCTAACATAGACAATACCATCTTTTATGTTTAGTATTTAGTGATTATCATTTAGAATTTAATAATTAGAGAGTGAAATTGAGTTTATAAATTCCTATAAATAATTATTAAACATTTATAAATGATTTTTTCGTGCTCATGTAAAGATATAAATATTTATCAATAAATATATTATAAAATTATTAGTATTTTAATTTTAGTTATTTAATATATATGTAGGATTTATTTAAATTATATTATTTCTCCAAGTATAACTATATTGAAGTAGATAAAATTTTTTGTAATTTTATTTTTCATTTAGCCTTGATTCTGAGCACAATTTTATTTTTTAAAATTACCCATCTTTTGGGGTTATATTGAGTTATACATATTTCTTCAAATCAAAGCACATTACTTTGATTCTAGTTAAACTAAATTCAGTTATTTTAATTTATTCCATTATTTCAGATCTTCATCTTAAATATGTATATGTACTTACTTAAATTCTTTTGTATAATTTGATATTTTGGATTTCTAAAAATAGTATAAAATGATGATAAGTACGAAGTTTTATCAGTGAACATTCTCGATAAAATTATGAAAACTTATGAACTGATATCAATATTCACAATTTTTTTTTTGTAAAAATCTAAGTAACTTTATACATAAGATGTATAAAATATAAATTAAAAAGTACTATGAATTATATTGACTACAAAATATCATATTGGTTTATGCATTCTTATTACATGTATAAATATATAAATATAAAAATAAAAATAAAATATTAACCTTTAAAGAAATTTAGTGATATATTAGGTTTGATTAAAGTTTTGGATTTTCTATTTGTTTAATTTGATTAACGAATGTGACAACTTAAAAATATAACACAAAGCTGTTATGTAAAAATTAATAAACAACTCAATAATAGCAATTATAAAATATTTTTAGTTCATCAGTGATATTTTAGTATATGCTATTTAAACTAATATTTGTAATAATATGAGAAAATATATTGTATAAAAATATATTTATGAGTTTTAA